TTGATAAGTAATCTTAAAATTGGATCTAGATAAGACATACTCCAATAGGCTTGACAACAATTCAAAACACATGCTGACATAAAGTACTCGAGGTTCTTATGATCTGTATACATGGTAAGTTGATTTGAAGTGCCTTCTAAATAGTGATGCCATTCTTGAAATGAATCCATGATTGGAAGGGCTCTTTGTCATGGATCTCATAATTAATTTCGATTGCTGAAAATTTCTTGGAAAGAAAAGCTATTGGGTGGAGTTTATCATCTGTTCTCATTTGTGACAATACAACATCTATAGCAAATTTTGATGCATTTGTTTCCATAAAAAATACCTTGAAAAAGTCGACATGATATAAGATTGATGAAGAAGTAAACTCTTTCTTTAAAGCATCAAATGATACTATTGCTTCTTTATTCCACTCAAGTTTGTCTTTATAAATCAAACGTATAAGTAAAGTTGCAACTTGAGAAAAGTTCTTGATGAAGATTTGGTAGTAATTAGCAAAGCCTAAAAAGCATTGCACATTTCATATTATTCTTGAAATCTTCCAATTTATGATAGTTTGGACCTTCTTGGAATCCATCATAAGGCCTTTGCTGGAAATGATGTATCCTAAAAAGTCAACTTAAGTAATGTGGAATACATACTTTTTCAACTTGGCATATAATCTTGTATCTCTAAGTTTTTGTAAGACGTGATAAACATGAAGTTCATGTTCTTCTATGTTCTTAGAATAAATTAAAATGTCGTCTAAATAGTAAATGACAAAATCATGTAGAAATTCACAAAAAACATCATTTATAAGATGTTGAAAAGTAACCAATGCATTTGTGAGTCCAAAAGACATGACATTATATTCAAAATATCCGTACTTAGTTCGAAAAATAGTCTTTTATTCATCTCCTTCTTTGGTACAAACTAAGTTATATGCTCATCATAGATCTATTTTGGTATAAATCTTTGCTTGATTGAGCTGATTAAGAAGTCCTGAAATCAAAGACAAAGGATACCTATTTTTGATGGTGATCTTATTGAGTCCTTAATAATCCACACATTTGTAGAAATCCCTCTTTTTTCTTCATAAATAAGATAGGAGCCCCGACTTGAAATTTAGAATGGCATATAAAGTTCTTTGTCAAGTTTTCATCAATATATTCTTTTAATAGAGCCAAGTCATTTTGTGACAAGCTATAGATTAGTCTGAATAGTGATTGAGTTCTTTATTATAGATCAATTGAACAATCATAAGGTCAATGCTCTAGAAGAATATTTACATTTTTTTTTCAAAAATATCTTAGAATTCTTGATATTAGCTAAGAATACCACTTGACGTTTTTCCATTAGTAGAAATAGGCGTAGCATATATAGCAAAAGATGATCCTTCTTTTGTAACATGCATAAAAACTCTTGTACCTACTAGTAAAGGTTTGGATATACTAGACTTATATACTTTTACTTCACTAATCCAATTTTAGATTATACTACCAAAAAAATTAAGGTTACAGGAAATCCAATCTATTTGAGAGTTATATTTTTTTAGCTATGATAATCCTAGAATAATTGGATTAGAGAGAGATCTTATTACTTAAATACTACTATATTGTTTTATCTTTAATTGTTACATCTAAAAAATAGTCTCAATGGTAAGATTTCTAGAAGACAAGAAACGATCATTTATAACTTCTACATGTACAGATATAGTTTTCTTTATTAAAGGTACTTTTTGATTTTTGACAAAATCTTCATCTATAAAACAGACTGAGGCTCCTAAATCCAATAAAGCAAAGACTTTGTGATTTTTAGGTCATAAATACACATCTATTATAAAATGAGGTGAAGGGTCTGAAGAAAGAATAGGACCTTTACTAGGTGTTGCATATGATTCCAATCGCACAGTCCCTATTTTAGTTGGAGAAACTTATTTTCTGACACATTATCTTCTTTGGTAATTGTGATTCTCATTTTATAATTGTGTTGCTTCTTTGAACAATGTTGAGCAGTGTGCTTAGCTTTTCTACAATATAAATATAAAACTTCTTGGCGATGTCGAGTTTTTATTTGAGAGGTTTAAAACATATTGTATCAATTTGCATTGGTTTTGACCTTGATGAATATATTTCAAAAATCTTCAGAGCTGCCGCCATTACTTGATTTGTTCCTCTCAAGCCAAGTCTTTGTTCTTGATGCCTTTCAAATAATTGATTGTTACATGCAATGACTTTAGTAATAAATTGTTTCAAAGATTTTGCTTTTGGTATTGTTAATAATAAATCTTTGATGCTATATTTCAACCCATACCAAAATTGATTGATAAGTGTTTTGTCATTCTAGTCCACATCACAAATGAAGTTTTGGAATTCAGCAACATATATGGTGGCTGACCATGAACCTTATTGTAAAGATAAGAGCTTAATCTTTGCTACTCTTTCTTGATCACTTTCTCCAAATGTAGCTGTAAATACTTGTAGGAATGAATTCAAATCATAAAGGATTCATGAATCTTTTTCCATTAAAAGTACAAACCAAGAGAGAGCACTTCTTGATAGAAGTGCGCCTATGAATCCGACTTGAGTAAATCCATCGGAATATTGGAAAGGATGCAACCTTAGATAGAGTTTGACTTGTTGCAAAAATACTCAAAATTTTGATCTTATTCCATCGAACTTCTCAAGCATACTAATTTTTGCTCTTATCATACTTGTAGAAGCAAAATTCCCTGGATTTGGTTGTAAGGTCAATCTACTTGCTTCCTTTAATTGTATAATTTCTTATCGTAGACTTTGAACTTCTTCTATAGGGATATGTATAGTATTTCCATGATTTATATTAAAAATATGTGAAATTTTTATTCTTAGGATGTTGACAAGTTTATGAAGATGTGTAATAGTTGCAAATCTATTTTCACTTCTACTAAAAGTAGTGCCGATAACCTTCCCTTCCATAGACAACTCAAACAAATTTAAAAAGTTAAATTAGAAGAGGGTGATCCACAACCTCTAGTAAAAATTTCCACAAAGCTAGATAATCCACTCTCTTTAAGAAAAAGATCAATGTTAGAAAACAAGATTTTTTATTTAAAGGTGGGTAGTCAATAACCTTCAAAATACAACAATAGAAGTGGAGTAATCCACTCACTTCTAAAATAAGACAAAAATAATATGTTAGCACTTTTGTCAAACTGTTAAGGACATGAATCTTGAAGAAAAGAAATTCTCAATAAACTCTTGTGTCACTGAAGAAAACTAAAAAGTCACTCAAGAGGTGATGTAATATTTAACTAGAATGGCTATTGCCAAAAAAAACAAGACTAACGACTATAAAGGCATTGACAACAATGAAGAAGGCTTCACTCTTGCCTCCTTATATACTTATAATTAGAAGCTATGTGGCGATGTCCTATAGGACCTCCAAAACATGTTGACTTTGCTAACCACATGTCTTAACTTGCAAGGCAAGTTATCTATGTATGTGCCATATAGTTAGCTTATTTCTCAAGCTACTACACGGACTTAATTTGTTCCATAAGCTACCAACACATGGTTAGTTTGTTGGCCAAGTTTCTAACCTACAAACACATCTAAAATCAAAACCATGTCTATGAAGCTTCTAGGAAGCTTTTTTAAAAGACTTTATGAAATTAATCTATATTTATGTACTTCTACTTAATCATATAAGTAACTATTGAGATAAATGTATATATCCGTGATATACATACCATGTTGCAATTCTTTGTTGCATACAACACTAAAATTCTTATGTTATTTAGATATAGTCACAATGGAACCTATTCAATTCCTTGAGATTGATGGATGATAATTTAGCTTGAAGATAAAAAATCAATGCAACAATTCTCTCATGAAACCAATTTTATTGCAACACATCTTGTCAACAAAAGGCGTTTTGAATAGATGAATGAATATTTGCACAAATCAAGACTAAATGCTAATGCCCCATCTATTTCTATGGCTCATCTGTCCTTTTTTTGTTTGCAAAAGGCAAGACTAAGTGCTAATGCCCCATCTATTTCTATGACTCATCTGCCCTTTTTCCATTTGCGAAGAGCATCTGGCATCCAAATCATAAGGGGACCAACTTGTACAAAAAAGTGTCGCGCCAAAATTTGTATAGCATGTAGTTTGGACCTTAGATTCATCCAAAATGGTAATAAGGTTTTACCTTACTAAGCTTAAGAATAGATTTGTAATTATCACAAAAATAAGGGATATATTTGCTATGAACAAGAATATAGGAATATTCTTTGATACTTCAACATATTTCAAGGATATAAATAAAAAATTTCCTAAATTGAATGAGATATGCATTATAATCCATATAGTATAATTTTTGTTCATGTTTTTATTCTTGATTGCAATATCTCCTTAGATTCACATCCACAAAGAAAAGATACAACATGATTCCAAAGAAACATGGAAATATCCATCATAATTTTCAATGCAACTCTCAACTCTCAATTTTGAGATTGTGACCATTTCAATTTTTTTCACACTTCACACATGAATTTCCTTCCGTGATTATCAACTTCAAAGAACCTTTCTTAACAAAAAAAAAATAGTATTAAATTTCCCTTTCTTAACAAAAAAAATAGTATTAAATTGCCCACCTTTTTGGCATGAGGTGATCTAAACCTACCAGATGATGACATAGAGTGACACCCCAATAAATTCAACTTTAGCACCGCAAAGGTGGGCAGTTCAAAGTTCCACATTAAAATACTCACTGTAAAATCCGCACCTGCCTGATGCGAACTTGCGTAAGGGTCCACCTCGCTGTTGCAAAAGAAATAATGAAGACAGAGATCCTCCAACTTTCTTATCACATAGTTGACCAACTCAAACATAATTTTGGCATTGAATCTGTGCCGAGATTTCTATAGATGTGATTGGACTAGATTTGAGAAGCACTAAATGCATCAAATGCATTTAATGTGATTTGCATCTGGCTACTGCCACACCCACTTCTTATCTTGATTGTAGAGTCTGATGTTAGATGAAACCACCTGTTCCCAACCTTGTATTAGTCGTAGAAGCAATACATCCAATATGCTCTGAAGATGAGTATCATGTACACATTGTGCGAGTTAAGGTTATTATACCGTCCTTGTGACACTTCCCTTTTTTTAAGTACAAAGTACTGACATCACGAAGGTAACACAGCTACTGGCCATCGTTAAGCTTTTACAAAACTAATATGTGGACTGATCGTGAAAGAATTGAGAAAAAACAATTCTGCCCCTCGATCTAAATTTAACATACGGTCACCGTTGTGACACATCATCAAAACATAGACACCCCATTTGGGCCATTAGAGAGGGTTGAGCTTTGAAATGCTTACGAGTCTGAACCAAAGAGCCAGACTACCTAGACGGAGAGTTGTAATGTGTATCAACTATCCCCCGTGACGCTATTACCACTAGATGACCAGATACTACCCATCTGCTCTGCAAGTTCTGCAATTTTGGAAGCCATCCAGCTCTCTGCGTATTCCTTAGTGGTGGCCTCTTGCAGAGCAAAAACAAGGTCCTTCTTCGTATCTCCCGAAAGTCCAAGTGCATCGGGGCCATTACTTGAGACTAGGTCTAACACCTGTATAAACCATCCCCAGGTGATGAGATACAGAAACAATGTAAAGATTCTAGATACTCTAGAATATTCTAGAATAATGCATCAGCCAAAATTCACACGGTCGGGTCCTTCTTGCAGTGATAAAAAAATTCAACCATCTAAACAAAACAGACCAACAACAAAAAATAATAATAATAATAATAATAATAACGACAAGCTCCTCCAAAATGAAGTGACGTTTAGATACCTGCTGAATCCAGGGAATTATGCAATCCAAGAAGCTCTGCTGCTGAAGGAACTGTTTGATGCTGCATATGAGATGTGTTACGGTAGAATCACTCAGTTGTTCCATGACAGGGCCAGTGCGACCCATCAATCGTACCAGCAAGAGCTCATCGTTGCTCCCAATAATATCTGCATAAGCTACATCGAGTTCACCTGCTCGGGCACTTTCCATAGCTCGACTCCACAGCATCCAAAATGGTCCGCTTACCACCCTATTTGACTTCTGTTCGACGTTAAAATCTCGATTGGATTGATGCCGATGGGAATCACGAGGCTTACTTGGTATGGCAGCACCACGAATGGCTGCTATAGCTTCATCTTTTGATGCCTGCCAAACGCTTCGTGCAGATGGGCCTTCCCCTTGAGGAAGCACATCTGGACTTGGATCGCAAGCTCTCCTGGTTCCAATCACATCTTGGTCAATCTCTCGATCTGCTTTATTACCCTTCTGCAATGGTCGTGGCCCCATCACCTGAGACCGCCTTAAAGCTTCTGCCGCTGGCATCTGTTGGCCAGAGCCGAAGGCAAATTCATCTGATTCTCCAGATATTGACTCGGTCTTCTCCATGGAATCCCGACTCCTAGCACTTAAGGGTGCTGAAGTGTCCTCAGGCGTTTTTCCAGACTTGAAGTTGAGAAAGCCATTACCAGAAAGGTATTTGCCAAGTGGATGACCATCTTGAAACGTGGGCAACTCTCCAACAGGTGATCTCCCATCTGTGTTGCTGGAACTGTGAGCCAGATCCTCCACAATCTGCTCCAACCTAGAAACTCGCCCCTCTAAATCTTGCATGCTCTCATGCACTCGCACCATGGAATCCTGCCCACCCAGATGCCAAAATGGAAGTACCAAGCTGTGGAATTGAGAACCTCGCGATAACCATGGCCTACTGCTGTCTAGCTCGTAGTGTACCATGTGTCTTGTTTCTAGACATTCATGCAAGACAATTATCTGACCCAAAAGATGGGACGAACAAGCAGAAAACTAAGATAGTAATCACGAATTAGCCAACTACCTGCTAAGAAACTCACCTGCAGCATCTCCATCATGGAAAGTTGCTGGCGTTCCAAGCTAGTCAAATGACGGTGAACAGATCCCATGTCTGCAGTTCCCTTGTCGATCCCAGTTATTGTCGAGTCATTGCCATCCCATGATGAATTATAGCCATGGTTCTGATGCTCATTGATTTGTGAGTCTCCCCACCTCTCAGATTTCTCCAACCTTTCCTGAAGCATCTTGCTATTCGGATCTTGGTAACAGTTACCTGCAATTCACCAAAATAAAATTTTTTGGCACCAAAAGCAGAAATCGATGACCACCAGTAACAAAGCACTGAGTTTAAAACATTCTTACAGTACAGTTTAATACAAGCATCAAACAGCAGGAAATGTCGAAACTGAATTGAACACGGATGATACATGATATACCATTATTCTGACGCTGAGAAAGTGAATGCAGATAACTCAGAGCTGAAGAAAAGAGTCTCACTTGTGATTATCCTGTTTCCTGCTGACTGTTTCAGTAATCCACCTTCTTCCTGGTTGTAATGAAGATCCGTACCATTGCTCTCATCAGGAGTCAACATTCCACCTGAAGCATATGCACTACCCAAAGAAACAGATCCTTGTTTTGTTTCTGAGCGGTTTCCGCAATAAACCAGATGTTGACTACTTGTCGCCACTGCTTTTGGATTATCCTCCTGTGGTGGATCGCGTGGAACTGCAACTTCAATTTGCCAATCCATTGAATCCCTAACTCCTTCCAGCTTTCGGAAGAAATCAGGATTAGGCTTTTTGTCGCTTAGAGCAGGGGCTCTTTTCTTCAACAGACCTGCACGTTTATCAGGCATAGACTTGGGTCTCCCGCTCGAATCAGAGAATGAAGAAGTTACTGACTCCCCAGACTTTCCTAGCAAACTATTTTTACGATCTGTCATAGTAGGTGTCGAATCTCCTTCGGGGCGACGTGTTGGAGAGAGTGAACCATGACTTCCCTTCGGTGAAGTACCTGTTGAATGACCCCACCTCAAAAATTCAGTTCAGCTAAAGTGGCATACAAATCTTAGATACCTCTCATATGACTCGTCTACACTGACAGCTATTTAGAGAGCACCATATGTTCCACCACAACGACTAACCACCTGCGTAGACTTTGAGCTCTAGTAGCATCCAAACTGAACGTAGCCAACGACTGGAAACAGACAAAACAATTAATGGAGACTGGCACTGACTTTGTGCAGCATTTGGGTCGTAGATAGCCTTCCAAAGCAGCAATGCTTCAGTGACACTGTCACGAACAGGCTTCACCTGATTCACAGCCGTAAGAATCCACTTCAGCATCACCTCGGACTGTGTAACTACACAAGTTTCCATCAATTCATCTATTACAGGAGAAGATCTAGATCTTAATTGAGAAACCTACTTAAGATATGAAAATGACAACCACTGCCTACGATCACCGTTTAAAGAGAGACCACTTTATAAAGCCGGTACAGTTGCTGCTGTATAAAATACTCAGGTCAGAGCAGGAAACTCAGAACTAAAATGCGCAAGTTAACATATGCAGCCAAAATTCTTGAAAGTCGGAGAGAGATGGGAGAGAATTCACCTTATCGAAACGACTGTTCATCAAGGCAGTAAGAACACCTTCCCTGTAAGATACCAGGGTGTTACCCACTGATGTAGCCATGCAGGATAGGACCTCAGACGCAGCTTTCCGCACTGCCCACTCATTGTTATCAAGCTCTTCTTGAACAGCGCCAAGCAGAACGGGTAGTTGAGACGTGGAAACCACTCCAGGAACCTGCGCGAATGCCTTATCAAGAGCGGAAAAAGAAGATAGCAAGACACCAAAAGCAAAACGTTTCTGCAATGATGTGTTACATAAATACATAACGGATTGGGTGATAAGAACAGTAAACGAGAAAAATAGGCATATGGTAAACAACTCAGAAATTCTTCACATACGAACACACCATCATCGCGCTAAAGCTCTATTCGGGAAAACCAGTGGCACGTAAGACGAGAGCTGCAAGTTGGCCCTGCTAGAGACAATGAACAAACTATAATCTATACCACAGATTCATCACTACAAGAGACTAAGAACATCGTAACTTACAGATATCAATCCAAGGTTTCAAGCATATAAGCACTCTATCATATTTCCATCGGTTGGAATTTCCTTCTTGAAGCTAAAGTATTCGTAATTTGTAGAGAGCGTGTAAGAAATTCCGTTGTTTAACACGTGAGACAAAAAGGTGAGCAATGAAGTATGGCAATAAGGAGACATGGTAATCATGATGTATATACAAACCGCACGTAAATGCTACCATTGTTGTCCACAGTGTGGCACGAAATGTAGGCCATTGAAGAATGGTAACAACTTGAAAATGGAATCGAAGTATGATATACCTGGACCATGACTCCCACAACGCTCAGAAGAGACGACTTCGCCAGAAAGTTAGGGCTGGCCAACATTTTCACCATTCGTGGACAGAGGCGCTGTAGAGTGGGAGGATGCGGGTCCTTTACACATTCTACGACGCGTGCCAGACACATAGCAGCTCCGATCTGCAAAGTCTTGTTCTGCTCTCCCAGCGCTTCCAGCAACGGTTTGACAAACACTGTAGTGGCAGCGCCAGGACCGGCTCCACCAATTTGAGAGGCCAAAACGCCCATACTTTCAACACAAGCATCACGGATATTGGAGTCTGGGTCTTTCAGCCTCTTAACTATGTTAGCCACCATCTTCGGCAGGTGAGGAGACAGTAAATCTCCATGCAGAGTGGCGAGCGTCCCTACCAACCTCATACACTCCCGTTTCACCACGCTCTTCTGCTGCGCGTCTGTGTCGTACAAACACGTCAGATACAGCGAGATCTCCTCCGGCGACAAATTCTGCGCGATGCGCTCCAGCTCCTCCACTGCCAGCTGCTGAGTATCCCGGTCCGAGAGCTTGTGAAGCATCGACAGAATCCGCTGCTTCAGCTCTATCAACGCAACGGCCTTCCCAGCTGTGCCTCCCGACCTTCTCCCCCCGCCTCCTCGCTGCGGACCCCCCGCCATCACCATGTCTGACAACTTCCCTGACGCCAAATCCCTCCGCTATCAACCGATCCACTCAAGCAATTCACTCTCAAACTCAAGTTCCCTGTCCATCATTACTCCATCGCTTGTAACCCTCTCCGAAACCCGCACTAATCAAACTCGATAATGCTCCTCCTTACTGCCACAGAAACAAACACACAACAACAACGACGGGACAACGCAAGCGTGATCGCCCGAGGCTACAAGTCCCCCTGGAGCCAGCTTCCGCTACTTATTCCAACCCCTCCTTCTCGTCGTCTCTAATCCCGCAAACCAAAAACCTCGAGACCCGCAACGAACGTCATTCAGAAGAGTGCCGGCTGCGGAGCCACGCCCTCGGTAGAAATCAAAAAGCAAAGGCAGCGTTTCTTACTCCCCCCGCCCTCGGAGCCCGCCTGACGTCGTCCCCGCCAGCGAGAGAGAGCCCGCGTCTCTGATACCATCGTGGGGCGGGAGCGGGGTGAGAGCGCGGAAGCAGGAACGGGAGCGGGACGGGTGACGACGACGCTGTCACGGTTCTGCCATGCGCACATGATGGATGGATGGCCATGCTGGCTGGACTAATTCCACTTGGAATCCGTCGTCCTGCCCCATCACCATCTCCATGCCCCCTTATTGCCGTGGTTGGTGATTGCGATTGGCCCAGTTATTATACATAATGGCCCCATATTTGGGCAATTCCTAGTGTAAATATTTCCCCCAAGTGTTACTTCATGGAAATTACTTTTCTCTACCCTAAAAAGTGCGAGTATATGTAAAAAGATAAACGGTAAAGTCAAACATACAAAAGGTAAAAGGTAAATAAGTGTGTGTGGGTGGCAAGAAACCCAAAAACAAAACCAAAAGTATTCAAAAACTTAATAATTAAAATAATAATAATAATAAAATCTTCTAAAAGATTCTCTTTTTTTGGTTATGAATTTGGGTAAAAGTCGATCAATCTGATTTGGACATGAACCTTTAGACATATTCTTGAAGTTTTTTTTTACGAGTTTTGATTTACTTTTGTTTATTTTTAGTTGTGACATTTTAAAAAATGGTATATACAAGATTATTTATGATTCAACTGAAATTTTATTAAAAACCAAAAAAATTGAAAATTTGAAAATAAAATTGATAAAATTGAATGTAATCAAATAAATTCAAAGAACATCAAAGTAATCATGGGGTGTAACTATTACAAACTTGAAAACCTTATTTCAGATTTTGAAATACTGATTTAAAATTTTTATTCTTCCCCATTTGCTATCCCCCTCTTTCATTGATAAAAAAAAAAAAACTGTCTTGAATCCTGAAAAATTCTGGACAACAAAATACACCAACTCCAACTTTTTGTAAAATTTCACCCATATTTGACATATTTTGTAGCTTTTATAATAAGAAAATTGACAAAGATATGTTTGAGTTGGTTGTGGGAGTAAAGGTAAAATAAACTACAAACTTCTAGATTTGGTGCAACAGTTTGTTGCCATTGCTGATTTTGGAAATGAGAGGATCCTATGGCGAGGAAAATTTACTACTGTTTTCTTTACAATTGGAAGAAAAACAACAAAATTGGAAGCAACTTTTTGTGGTCTCATTTATGTACACAATTGTAGTGTGTAGATGTGCTTGTCCATGGACTTCAATCACATCTTAAAATGTTGACCAAGAGTTCGTTGGTACCAAAGAAAGTAGACTATGCAAAATCAATAAATTATGTAACTATGGCTAACTATTTTAGAACCTAATCTACAAGGATTTTTTTCAACCTTGATTGTTCATTTCAAGTTTTATTTTATTTTATTTTTTATTTATGGATTCTAAATAATGTTTTGGGTAGTAGATTCTTTAACATAAGATTTACATTGTTACAGTGATTATTTTCTAAGAATAGCTCAGTACCATGTAAGAAACTTATGCTTGTTTGATATTTTATTTCAAAATAAGAATAGAAATATTTGAGTTGATATAATTTGTTTGAATCAATTTGGAATTGCATATTTATCTCAAACTAATTGAGATATCTAAAAGTTTGTATTATTGTTTTTTATTTTTTGTTGCTAAGATTCATATATATATATATATATATATACATGTTTTTGTCTTATTATTTTTGCAATATTAAATTTACCAAAAAAAGTTTTTAGATTAAGCAACATTCATATGAAGATATATTACTTACTATCTAAATGAAATTATAACAGTAGGATTTTTAAACAGAATAATATTTTTTTGAAAAGTAATTCTTTTTTTGTTGCAACTATTTTTGAAGGTTAAATTAAAACTTTTGTAATCAGTGATGCAAATAGACATTTTTTATTTATAATATATAATTATGTAACATGATTTTAATTTACACTATGTAAAACTTTATATTATACATAGAAAACATAAAGTTGTAACAAAACATAAAGTTGTAACAAAACACAAAGCCACATCACGTCTTGTACTCTTTTAACTGCACCTACTTTACCAATCTTTGACATGAATCAACGTATGCAAATTTAAAATTTTATAATACTATTTACACAAGGCCTTTGATTTTTTTTTGGAAAATGTCAATGGGTGGTAAAAATATGCTGCTTCAAGATTATTATAGTATTAGTATAAGGTTTTTGTAACAAATTGCTACTATAATACTTGTAATAATCTTCAAACAGGTAAAGTATATATTACCAATTCTCATTCAATATATAACCAGGAGACATTCTGTTACCAGTCAACAAAATATACTTGAATTATATTTATTATTGATATGGAAAAACAATCCACCTTCATGACGCTGAAAAACTCCACGAATTTATTTTATGAAAAATGCACGAAAATGCTGGAAATTTAGGCCATTATTTTGAAAAAAACCAAGCTACTTCATTTAGTGGAAGTTGGGCCAGCACACGTTGCTCTACACATTAATATTCTCTACATTAATCAAAGGACATTTTGAGATCATGTTCATCAATGAAGGCTCCACGGTGGCAGCAGAAGGATATGCTGGTGTTGTCCTGTTATGAACTTGAATGTAAGCAGAGCAATTATCTGCATGCACAAACACATTCAGCCCAAAACATTTCCATGCTTTAATGAAAAATGGAAAAAAAAAAAAAAAAAAAAAAAAAAACGAAAGCCAAAAAAATCAGTCTGTAGACAGTCAAATTTGACTGTCTACAAGGAACAGTAGATGTAGTTGACAAATGGTGTACTTGTGAGGAGGTTTAGGTTACATCGAAGGAGGGGGAGAAATACTTTTCAGAAAGGGGGAGAAAGGAATTATGCAATCGACCAGACTATTGCCCTGACTGATGTGGTTGAGATATATCTACATGGTGACATAACCATGAGCAGCTAAAAAATGATGATTGTACACTGGGCAGAAAGCACACTCCAACTCCTGTGTAGTATATAATGAAGGGAGAGACATACCTTTTTTCTACTGGAACAGCAATGGGCACTTTCCAAGCTATCTCATTCAGTTTCACTAAGTTCTTCATGTGAAAAATCGAGACTAAGTTGGATTTTCTATGTATTTTTTTTTTAATAAAGAAAAAGAAACTCTCCAAAGGATTTATTAGTTACGGAATTCGAAATGAATCTTGTCGTCGTAAAGGAATCTCTTCACTTGACTCGTCTTCTGGACGCTGTTTAGAATTTGCACCATTCATCGTTATGCGATGTGAAATACTTGATGCTGGACTCCAATGTGAACCTGTATAGCATTTCAAAAACTGGAAATAAGATGATGCATGCCAATCTGCTTAACAAATCACCACATAATTGATAGGTGCTCAATGAAATCTACCAGCAGGACACACAACTTCACTCACTAAAAGCGTTTACTATCAAACGTCTCGGGTTCAACGCTAAAAACCTAATCCCGTAATGCGGGTTCATGTATGAGTGTATTTCCCAGGTTGGATGAACGAACTTAATCCAGCTGGTGCGTCACCCATGTCCTTTGTTGCATGCAGTAAAAACGTGCCAGACAGAATGGTGATAAAACCACACAATTCAGTTATGATTTGAGGTGCGGTCTGCTGGTCCCAGTCCTGCACAAATCAATGCCCAGTTAGTGTATAAAGGCTGAATTATGACATGTCTGTCACTTGGACTCTGACAGCAACAGTACACTGATTTACTTTTCACATGAAATTTCCGCACAAACACTATTCGGAGGAAAGAAAATACCATTTTTGGCCTCATGTGCTTGCAAATACAGTGGTGATACAATGTATCCGAAAAGAAGAAACGTGTCACTAAAGAGAACCGTCACTGTTGTGCTCGTATCAATTGCCTTGTATCAATGGCAACAAATGAGGTGTACGGATCAATCATCTTCACAGACCTACTTAGAAAAACAGATATTGTTGCTCTAAACTTTGACAATGGTAGGATTGCTAGTAGCGTCAGCACAAACCTTGAACATGATAGCACTCGCCAGGATGGTCAATGATGTGAACATGACGTAATATATAGGAGAAACAATTGCCGTGTTAAATGTGTCCAGGGCCTGCACAGGTGAGTACCAACTTCATGATCCAACTACGCTTCAAAACATCAAGCAAAAAGAGGGCATACCAAATTCACACCTTACTGGCTTAAATTCGAGTGACATCTTCAAGCTGGTTATTCACGCTAGGCTTATTACCTTATTGAGGTAATTCATTTGTGTCAGTATGCAAATAAGGACTACCATCGCAAACACCGACGTCTGAGGATAGATCAATTGATTCTGCCCTTGCAAAGTCAGCTTAACGGCGATGCCCAGTGCTTTCACACTCATAACCTGAACAAACAAGATGATAAACCACATTAGAACCGTTCAGTGTGTCCCACTTCAAAAACAAAACTGCAAACGAAATGGATGAACCGCTGGCATTAAGTACAAGAGGATAAGGTTGATGATCCCCACAGAGATAGGGGTTTTTCTTAAATAAAACAATGAAAAAGCAGATGAATTTGAATGACTGAAGAAAACACAAGAAACCTCGGGTTTGAAGACAGTACAGATAAAGAGCCCATTAACGAGCAAATGGTGATGTAGACCAGGACATGAGAATTCCCAAATTGCGGGACATAGTGAAAGATCAGTATCAGCACCAGTGCAACCACGAAAAGCGCATACATTAAAAAGGCTGCACCACAATCGTTATCCCGATTCTCAATAAGCAAACGAAGCAGATTCTCTGAATACCTCTGTAAGCTAATGACTTCCAATCAAGCGTCGAAATTAGGACTGAAAACGAAATCACTTCATTGAACATCACTTCAGGAAGTAAACCTTGGACAATGTATGTACTTCAGACTCATATCGACTTACCAGGTTCAGTGGCGAGGACCCAGACGTCCTTGACTGACTCTATGGCACGCTCTTGAGGCGCGTGTAGTACAATTGTGGTGGAGCCAACTATGCATAGAACACAACCTACTATCCCCAGCAAATGCAATCGCTCCTTGAGAACCATGTGAGCTAGAACCGCACTGCATCAAGAAATACATAAATCAAAATGAACCCTTGCAACCCGGAAATGAAGTGTGCTACCACTACGAGTCACCAAAAGACGAACCTGACTATTATGCTCAGTGCGCCAAGCGGAGTGACCAAGACAGCCGGAGCAAACGCGTAGGCAGTGAAGTTGGCCACTTCTCCCACAATCACTGCCAGCTCACACTTTCCAGGTCAATCGTTGAGAAAGTTCTCCACAAAAAGCACCATGAATAAATAAGCTGAAGTGATCTTACTTGTGATCATGCCGGACCACCATAGCGGTTCATATAGATACGAGTAACCCCCCACTCCTGCCACAAAAACGATCAGAATACTATGTCAAGTTGCACCGAACAGTAACAGAAAATACTCATTGCCTCGCTCCTGTCATGCTTCCCCCGTCAATTAAAAGGTCAAACCCAGTTACCCTACAATCAATACCTGAAAGATTTCATTGCAATATCCAATTCCAGTTCACATTCACGGATCCAACCCCAATCCCCATCTTGCCCATGAAAAAAAAAATCAGGAAGAATTCCAAAGCAGAGAAAGATCAGCGACCCACCTGCCCTCACTCCCGACGCCCCGGCTCGCTTCAAGCCCTTTTTCTTGATGATGAAGCTAGCACCAATGAAGAGACTAGAGCTAACGGCCAGGGCCAACCCTTTCTCATTATCGGATGACATGGGAAGCCTTTTCTGCGCTGCTGCTGCTGATACAGCTGCAACAACTGCACGCTTTGAACGATTCCACAACTGTTGCCGCGTTTTATCCTACCACCACTGATCCCCATCTGCCTCCCCCTCGTTGTCTGATTCAGCAACCTTCTCTTTACCCCTCAACCTCGCATTCACTACCTCCTCTGCCCCCCTCCCCATCACATTCCAAAATCCACAAAATCCTACCAAAACAGTCACGCCCCAACGCAACAAACTCACGGCTCACTCTCCAAACCAATCCTTGCTTCTCTTCACTCTTCTCTTCTCCTCTCCAACCCATCAAACACACCCGGCTCCAAAATTCACCCACCAACTACTGTAACGACGACGATGACATCACATCCAGCAGGGGGATCACATCTAGATCTGAGGGAAACAGAACCAGGGTGGCAATGCCGAAAAGGGACGACTGACGGCAGGAAAAGCGGGCGAGCAGGCGGGATTGAATGGGCAGCGAGGGAGGGAGAGGGGAGGGGAGGGGAGGGGAATAACTTAGTGTGCCTGCCATCAGCGATGGACAAAGGAAGGAAGGGTATTCCCGGTGGCGGAGTCCAGAATAGAGAGACAGAGGGAGGGAGAGTAAGCACAGTGACTGACTGATTACCACTACTACTTCCACAACTACTACGACTACTACTACTGTTGGTGGATGAAGGGAAGGGAGAGAGACCCAACTACTACAACTACTACAATAACGAGAGAGAGAGAGATTGCCGCTGTGCTGTGATGTGGTGGTGGTGGTGTTGCCGGGGGGGGGGGGGGATGTGTGACGCGAGTGCCACAAGGTGGGTCTGTCTCTTTGTCTATCTGGCTGTATGTGCGGGGGCACTACCTACTTCCCTCCCTCCCTCCCTCTGTCTGTGGCTGTCTGTCTGAGTGTGTGTGTGCATCCATCGATAGATCGATCGATTATCGATAGATAGATCTATCTGTTGTCGAGGCAGCAGCAGCATGAACAGCAGCAGCAGCGCGAGCACAATTCATCGACACGATACGATTGATCGATCGATCAAATGATCGAAAGCTCGATAGATCGATTGATCCGCAGCCTCTGCATTCATCGCCGCTCACGCCCTTTGGGACTTCGCTCACTCAGTGAGAGAGAGAGTGTGTGTCGAAAAAGCTACTTTTTCGTTCTCCGGTGCTTTAAAGGTAAAGTAAGTTCGATGCCGACGTTGGATTCTGGAAGATGGTAAGAACGTGATCACGACAGCTGCTGCTGCTTTTTGCTTTTTGTCCACACCTTTTTTTTCTACTTTTTATTTATTTATTTATTCATATATGTACAAGTGTGTGTGGTGAAGGAATGAAAGCTGGGATTTTCAAGCAGTTGGGTTGTGACTGTGATGTACATTTTGGAATTCTTTCTGGTTTTATTTCTTTATTTCTTTATTTATTTTTATTGTGTCTTTCATATCTTATATATTTTAAATTCTCTCTCTATCTATCTCTCTCTCTCTCTCTCTCTCTCTGTATATATATATATACATGTTTTTTCTGTATTTTAAATTTTTCTATAGATTTATAAAAAATTTAATAAGTTTTTAAAAATCTTTTGATTTTTTCATAAATCTTCTTTATTCTATTGATTTATTTTTAAATATTTTAAGGTTGAATTTTTATGTATGTATTTTTAGATGATTTAAATATGTTTTAGAAAAACTAATAGTAAATTTTAATCAATTTTATTTTCTATATATTAAATATATTAAATAATTCAAGTTATTTTTATTTTATTTTTATATCTAATTTCAAAGTTTTATATTTTATTAATCTTAGATTTATTAAATCTTAACAAATTTTAAGGATTTTTTTCAAGATATATATATATATATATATATATATATATATATATATATGTTTTGATTTTTTAACATCTTATATCTTTTAAAACATTTGAATAATAAGTAAGTTAATAAGCTTTAAAATAAGTATTCAAAAGAATCATATGAATATTTAAATTAAGCTAGGAAGGATAATACTTACCTACATCAAATCAAATTATTGCAAAAAAAACTTAAATAAATAATCTATTGTATAATTTTTATAAACTTAAGTTTAAATATTATTTTTATAATAAATCATTATGATTTCTCTAATTATTTATTAATACAAAGAACTTAAATTTTATTCTAAAGAAATAATATAATATCAAAAAAATTTAATAAAAGATATTAGTATTTTATATATTCAAAGACAAACATCAAGAACAATTAGATTACTAAATCATAGTACAAGATTAAGTTAAAAAAATCAGAATTTATTTTATCTTAAAATAAAATAAAATAAAATATTTTATGAAGAAAATTTAAACAAATATTAAAGTGATATCTATAAAAGAAACCAAAATTTATCATGTCTTTTTATGAATCTCTAGTTGTATATAAAAAAATACTTTATAAAAGTATTAATTATTAATCTAGTTGTAGTGAGGTATAGATAAGATATTCATAGTGTTGACATATAAAAATAGATAGTTGGAGCCATATTTGGAAAGTTTTTAGAAGTTTATAGAATTAAAATTAGGTTTATGGTTTAAGTGACATCTAGCATAGAATATTCTAAAAAGAACTTAAGGCAATTATCTAAGTGGATCCTACCATTAAGAATATTTTAGAAAGTTCCAAGATGGTAGGACAAAGTATAAATATAATTGATTAGATATGGCTTTGGTCTCTTTTTCTTAATAAAGTTTGGTTTTGCACTTTTTGGTTAAATTTTGTTCTATTCTCTCTTGTTCTTTTCTCCTTTTTATGTTTCATTCTATTTAATTTAATTTAATTTAATTTTAGTCTACATTGTTCTACGTTGTGACAAGATTTGTATTACTATGAATTGGAAGAGTCTTAGATCTCAAAGATAATCTAGTCTCATTTCATTGATATCAGAGCAAGTGTTAGTCTATTCTTTGATTATGTAATGATAGCCATCCTCTAATTGGAGGTTAATTGTTGTGGTCACATCAAGTATTGTTTTAGAGCTATTATGAGTTATTTTAAGAAATCAATTGGAAGGAGAGAAGATATTATATTAGCAAAGTTTAATAAAGAGATTACAACATGAGAGATATGACAAAGTAATTCCAGATCAAGACTCAGATATAATAGCTCCTAGGTATGAAAGCTACTCTGCAAGGACAAATGAAAGCCTCTAGGATAAGAGAGTCGACATCTATTAGACTGAAATTAAGTATGCCAAATATATACTTTAGAACTTCAAGACAAGAAGATGTATGCCAATGGATCTTCAGCATGTAATAATACCTCCAATTATCTCGGACAAACATCACTAAAGGAATTGTATATGCCACTAGCTATTTGAGAGATGCGGCAACCATTTGGTAGTGACATTGGGATCAAAGCTATGGAATTCAAGGTAAATTTTGTAACTGGAAGGAGTTTGAGACCCAGTTTAGGAGTCAATCAAATTTTGATCCATCAATGTGGAAAATATAACACGTGATTAGTTGACTAATCTTACACAATCCAGGTCAGTACAACATTATGTCTCTCAATTAAAATTCCTATATCTCCAAATTGGTAATATTTCATAGGCATAGATGATGAATTGATTTGTACGAGGGTTGAAATGTGTGGTCCAATAAAAAATAGAATTAAGGGATCCACAAACATTTGAGGAGGCAATTAGGATTACAAAGAGAGTCAATGCTATAGATTCCAAAAATCGTAGAGCTTGACATATTGCATGAAGTCATATGCTGTTATCTAATACTATGGCACAATAACCAACACCGATGGAGATTAATGCCTTACAAAGATCACTGATACTAGAGAGACGACAAATATTGGTGCAAAAGAAATTATATTTCTATTGTCGAGAGCAAAGCCACTAGACTAAAGATTGTTCAAAATGTCAAAATTTAGGCACTAATAAATCAAGGTAGATTCACAATCTTAAATCTCACCAAATCAATAACAAAATAGAGTAGGAAAATGAAGCTTCTTAGTAAAGGCATCAAGGGCTAATATTGGAAATAGTTGTTGTTTCTTAGAAATAAATAATATGGCTTTGAAAAATTATCAAAAAGGTCGACTGATATGTATAATGGATTGACTAAGAAGACAACCATATCAACTACTTGTAGATTGTAATTCCACAAAAAATTACATCTTGATTGGGATTATTGATCAATTTGGGATTAAAACCAAGGTAATTAAAATATATATATATATATATATATATATATATATATATATATATATACTTAGTAAATGATCAAGAAAACATATTGAATGAGACATGTAAGGAAGAAACTTTAAGGTTGAGTAATACCTATGTCTTAAGAGAGAATTTCGAGATAATAAAGTTGAGATATGATATTATTCTTGGTATGCCATGGCTAGAAGTGAAAAATAAGCAAGTTGATTGTTTGACAATTATGATCTCTTTCAAAGATTGTGAATGCAAGGTAACTCTTTATACCTCTACATTGAGTTAGGTAGAAAAATAATTTTTAGCTAAAAGCTTATTTGTAGAGGTGACCTTTATAAAGAAGCAAATACAACATAAGAAATCAATATATATATATATATATATATATATATATATATATAGTGGTTCTAAATCTTGTCTCAATGGTGAAAAAGACAGCTAAAGGAGTAGAATGGGCAGAGCAATTCATACATGAATATTGGAATGTCTTTTATATTGACTTATTTGGTGGCATGCTACTTGATCAAGGTGCCTTTTTTCAAATAGAAATATTTTTTGGGACAAAGCTGATAAGTTGGCTAATTTATTGCCTAGCACCAAAGAATTTGAGAAATTATGAAAGATATTAAACAAATTCTTGGAAAAAGACCTCATTCAAAAAAAACTTATTACTATAGAAAGCACTTATATTCTTTGTACCTAAAAAAGATAGTAGAATTTGACTTTGCATTAACTATTGAGACCTTAATAACTAAACTGTTAAGAATGCATATCCACTTTCATACATGGATGATTTTTTTAACCAACTTCAAGGTACAATCATCTTTAGGAAATTAGACCTTTGGAGTGGCTATTGAAAAATACCTATTGCAAAAGAAGATATAGAAAAGATGGTCTTTTGTATGTGCTATGGACATTTTGAATGATTTGTTTTACCTTTTGGCCTCATCAATACTCCAACCTCCTTCATGAGTCACATGAACAAACTATTTTGGGACCTTTTGGACTAGTATATAATTTTCTTCATCAATGATATCCTAATCTATATAAAAATCATTTGAGTGAATGTGCAACATCTATGAAAAGGGTTGCATCGACTACAAGATAGTCACTTCTATTACAAGCAATCAAAGTGTGAACTTTGAAAGTCAAAGATCACCTTTTTAGGATATGTTGCTTAAGATAAGGTGAAAGTGATAGAAGATTGATCAACCCTCAAAGATGTTTTTAAAGTCTACTCATTCTTAGGTCTTGTTAGATATCATTGTTGTTTTGTTTGGCAATTTACACACATTGTTGCCTTATTAATAAGCCTATTGGAGAAGAGTGCTTAATTTGAATGGAAACTGGAACAAAAAGGGCCTTTGATAAATTGAAGGAGGCACTCATTATTGTTCCAATATTACAATCATATGATCTCAATCTTGATTGTACACTTGACATTGATGCTTTTGACTTTGCTATTGGTATAGTTCTTCAATAAGACTTTAATAGGGGCCTTTAATCTATGGCATATAAATCATGCAAGCTCAAAAGGGCAAAATGTAATTACTTTACACATGATCGAGAGCAACTAAGAATTGTACATACCACAAAGGTGTGGTGATACTATTTGTTGGAAAAGCTAGTAGTTGTTTGGACTAACTATCAGCTCTTGCTACATGATTTGTATCTAAAAAATATGAAATCAAAACACCATTGTTGAAAAGAATAATTGCAGCTCTTCAACATTCAACTTGAATACAAGCAAGGGTAATATAATACTAGACACTTTATTACATAGAATAGACTTAAACTCCAAATTAGAAGAAAAGGAAGAAGTTGCTACCATTAATAGTGTTATTTTAAATCTAACTAAAGGAATAGAATAGAAAAAAGCTATGCATTATGAT